TAAAATATTTTTATTAATTCTTTAAAATGAAGTTTTACATAACTTAAAACAATTTGTAGTAGTTAAATAAGTTATTTGACAACTGATCTGTGAATATAAAATCTTCTGTATCTGGTATTTCCCTACCAGTTACATAGAAAAAGTTTAATAATTAACTCTAAGGCAGAAAAATAACTTAGCAAGTAATTGATCGTTACAGTAAAAAATATGCAGAAAAAGAATGGCTAAATGCTTTCATTATTCTTATTCTTCTGTTTTCCTCCTATGACCTACTTTATCCTCATCTCATTTCTAATTCTGATGAAGGTGAACAGGCCAATGGATGAAGCTACATTCACTCTACATTCACTCCTCTCTCTTTTTTTTTTTTCTTCTCCTTTGTATGTGAAAATACAACTAACCACCCTTTACTGGCACACAGATTGGCAGAATGCTGGAATTGCCTTTACCAATAATACTTCCAGTACGAACAGTAACTATCACCCACAGTTGAAAGTTGAAGCAACTTACTAACATGTTTCTCCATCTCTTCAAAGTATTTTGAACTTCGTGTTCTTTGATAACAGCACAGCTAAGTGACCTCCTTTGAGGCCAGCAGGTGTGTCTGGGGCCACATCCAGGTTTCTAGTGGTTTGTCAGTTCATAGCCCCAGCCAGTACACCAGGAGAAAAAAAAAGTTTCCAAAATTAACAAAGACTATGACTCAGAGAGTCAGAGACAAGATAAAGAAGGCAGGGCTTACTTGTTCAGGTCCAATTCCCAGAAATGTTGCCTTTCACCTCTAGTCAGTGACTTTTAAAAAATTATTATTCTTTTATCTCACACACATACACACAACTCTTCCATTTGAAACTTCTCTTGAATTTCTAGTGACAGAGTTAGGTTCCTTAACACAAGCCTTGGTTTTAAATTCTTTAATGTCATTCCTGACATCATCACTTAACCCAGCCTCCAATACTGCCAGTGTCTGGTCTATTTTCCCATCAGGACTTTTTTTGGGTACAGGTGGGTGGCAAAAGGTTGTTTGGTCTTGTTTCCTGTTCTGGCTTGGCAGGAATCCTAGAAATTGGGTAAAACCAGGTTAATAGCCTGGGTTTCTTTACTATACCTTTCTCAGTTTCAAAGTTCAGCAGGGTTGTGGGGATTCTCTTGGTTCATTTTCCATAAAGTAAAAAGAAGTTATCTGGGAGAATAAATTAATTTCAAGTCTACCAGAAAGGAATTCCAACAACTTCAATAACCCTTCTCCTCCCATCTCTTTGCTCTCCTTTCTCTTGAGGTGGCTTCTTTCTCAGCTACAGGTTTGTGTTCTAGCAGCTCACCAACCCTCCCTAAGAGTGTGTTTCTTTCTGGGTTATTCCAGGAAAGATTCCTATTGGCTTAGCGTAGGCCACATGTCATCACTGAACCAATCACTGTGAACAGGCTCTGTGTTTTGATTGGTTAGGCCTAAGTCATGGGTTTATTCCTGAAATCCCAGCAGTGCTGACACTTCTACCTGAACCACTGGGACTGAGATAATGCAAGGGTGTTTCTCAAAGGAAAAGGAAGATATGATGAACAGAAAGGGAAATGGATTCTGCAAGGCTAGGACAGAGGTCAGGGAAGCTTCAAAGGGGAAATATTCAAAGAGACATTCATTTTCTGGCTCAGGTAGGATCAGTTTTGAGAGTGAGCCACTCCTCAAAGTTTGTGCCCTAGGCTCCTCACTCATCCCTAGTCCTGGCCCTGGAAGTTGGGTAAGCAAAAGACAAAATAATCACTAAACCCATATTTACAAATAGCTTCTAGAGTGCCAGAAATCTCGTCATTAAGGATTCATTTCTTTGGGCTAGGCAGGCACATCTCCACAAGTCCCTCAATATTTTTATTTTTTCCATGAACAGCTAGAGGGCAAGTCTGTGAATCGATGAGAGCTTCCGTATACATGTTAATTAGAGACTATCTAGTCCACATGTGTCAAACACAAGGCCCGCGGGCCAAATCCGTCCCGCCAGGCCTTGCAATGTGGCCCGCACCGAGCTGTCATCACTGCACTCTGCTGCGTTTCCATCACAATGACAGTTTATGACTGTTCAGTAAACCATTCGGCCTGCGATTTAGGCTGGATTTTAGATTTTGGCCCCTTCTCTGATTGAGTTCGACACCCCTAATCTAGTCAATCACCTCCATCTGGGGCCCAGCTTCAGTTGAAAGCCCCGCCCACAATAATGTATGATGCACTGTAAGAAGAGGCCTGGAGAGGAGTGGCCAAGACCTGAGACTAGAGGAAATGGGTGTCCCTGCAGGAGAAAAATGGCATAGAAAGGAGATACACGGTGTTAAAGGCACACTTTTTTTTTTTTTTTTAATATTCACCTGAGGTTATTTTTTCCATTGATTTTTAGAGTGGATGGAAGGGAGTATGGGCAGAGGCAGGGAGAGAGAGAGAAAAAAAACAAAACACAAAAACATCCATGTGAGACATATCCACTGATTGCTTCCAACATGGGCCCCAATCTGAGATTGAACTTTCAACCCAGGTACATGCCCTTGACCAGGAATCGAACCCATGACCTTTCAAAGCACCAGCTGAAACTCTAACTAACCACTTGGCAACACTGGCCAGGGCAAAAACACATTTTTAGTCAATCATTTAATAACACTTGATGAACACTGTCTCTAAGCCTACTTTATCAATTTTCCTAAATTCTGTCATGTGGAGAAATTGAGGTGGCAGGCTGGGCAAGTGAGGAGATAGTAGGAAAGACCCAGGGCACAGAAATGTGGAAATCTCTAAACAGGAATTCTTTGTTGGTATGCAACATCTGGGAAGGCTTATACAGAGTTCTGATAAGGCCTTAGGGAGAAGTATACACTCTGCCAAGGCAAATCCTTGGGTATTTTCATTGAAAGAAAAAAAAATTTCTACCCTTCATATTTCAGTAACTTACTTAATCTTCCCTTTTGGGGACTCTAGCTGCCTTTGGCAAAGAAAAGAGCTTACATAACTGAAATATACCTGCCTCTTATAATAATCAGGTTTTGAAATATTTTGTCCATCTCATAATATGAATAAGTATGTATAGCAACGATCCTGTTACTAGGTGGAGGTTACATTTGGAAATATGATTGTCCATTAAGTCAACTTATAATGGATGCAAACACAGCCCAGAAATCAGAGTGACCTGGTCCACAGACTCCACCTGTCTGCTTCTAGTGGCGCATAGATCACCATGAAGTGATGCCAGCAACTGGGGAATCTTATAACTCACTCCCCTGCTTAGGAAGCAGCCTTCTGCACAGAATGGCTTCCACAGGGTGTGCCTACAAGGAGACAATATGATGGCTAGATTGTCTGGTGCTATATTTTCATAGTAACTGTTTGTTTATATTCCACTGACAAGTAACAACTCAGCATCTTGGCTTTAAGTATCAGGTTCAAAGTGCTGAGAATCTAGTTTCTGTGCCCACAAGGCTTAGAGCCAGATGCCAGGCTGGGGGTAGTCACAAAACTGCTGACCAACGTGAGGCCTCTTAAGGCCTTATTTTCTAGTTACACACCCTTGTCTCACTTTGTCAGTCTTCAAACTGGGAAAATCGATGCTATAAAAGGCAATGAATGTATTTTAAAGTTCTTCCTTGACCAACAAACACAATCAGATGACCTTTTTGCAAACTATAATGTAATAACTGGCAGTAGATATGTCAATGAGTGCAGTAAATATTGAATATCGTGCTAGGTGTGGTGAATCCCAGGCTGAAAGAATAGGGTCTCCACCCTAAGAGCTTACAGTCCAAGAGAGGAAATACATGCTCATTTTTAAAAAATATATATATTTTTTTATTGATTTCATAGAGGAAGGGACAGGGAGAGAGGGAAACATCAATGATGAGAGAGAATCACTGATTGACTGCCTCCTACACACCCCACACTGGGGAACCAGCATGCAAGCAAATATGTGCCCTGACCGGAAATGGAACCATGACTTCCTAGTTCATAGGTCAATGCTCAATCACTGAGCCACAGCAACTGAGCCACATAACTCTTTTAAGAGGCATTCGTCCTATTGGTGTATCAGAAGCATAAACTACATTCTATGGAAAAAGAAAAGATTAAATGCAACTAATGGCTCAGAGAAGACTTGGAAGACATGGAATCTGAAGAGCTGACTCCACAAGATCCTCGGGAGACTTGGAATCCAGGCCAAGGAAGAGTTGACTCAGACGTGCTGGGAACAGGCTTCCCAGGAGGCTCAACATCATCTGGACCTTGGCAAATTTGATGTCTGGGTAAGAGACAGAATGGGAGGACCCTGAGTTCTAGACCACAGAGTTTGGGGGTGGAAGGGGGTTTTGCCTCATAGGTTATCACCCTCAGTTAAATCTTAAACCACCATACCTGTGACTTTTGAGCTCCTCCTAGAGAAGGGCATATCAATCCAATTATGAAATATATATTACTGCATATTATGGTGCAGTATTTTATAGTTGCAGATGTATGTCAACCATAAGGTAACCTCATCATCATCCCTCTCATTTGGTTTGTCTCTCCTGAATGACATAATCTACATAAATTAAAACCTCAAGGTCATCCAAGTTAATTCCCCCTCCCCCTAAGAACCCAGGGCTTCCAGGCAGAGAAAAAATTGTCACCTTTTAACAGTGAATTGAGCAAGATGGCAAGAAGAGAAGTAGCCAGAAGCCTAGATTGGGTGGAGTTTTCTCAGCTACTCCAAGAGACCCTTCCTGAAGGTGTGCTCCTCAGACTCTCTCCAGCCTCCATCTGCCTGGGATGGATGCACAGATTCCCCAGGACTCTGGGGAAAACCCTTAGGAGCACCTCTGGCCAGAGAGCAGCAGCAACATCTGCCACAAACGGCTGCAGTGGCAGAACAGGAAGTTCTGGTCCTTCCAGCCACCCGGGATTCCCAACTTGACTCTTCCAGGAAGCACTTTCTTCACCCTTTCTCTTGCGAAATCTTGGGTTCCCCCCTCCCCTCCCTCCCTACTCTGCCTTCTTATACTGCGGGCAGCAAGAAGAGAATCCCAGCTGCAGCCCTGAGCTAGAGCTCTGCACAGCAGCTCCCTCCTTGCCTGGCCAGCTGTGCACCCAGCTGCCACCACCCTTGACCATAGCAGCTTGGAAGCACCCCTCCCGCAGGTGGGTCACCTTTCTGGCTCTTTGCCTTGTACCTTTCGCCAAAGGGCCTGCCTCCTTTATCTGTTTCAGCTAACCTTGAACCCCTGCTTTCTGGACCCCACTCTCCAAGCTCGCGGGTAAAGAATGGGAGCTGGCAAACTTCCCAGCACACCCCTGCATCTCTCCCAGGGAAAGGCCAGTCTGTTAAGCAATTCAGCAAGCTTCCAGATTCCTGGCTTTTCGTCACTTATCTCTACACTAGAGAGCAGAGAAGTCTGATTTCAATTCCTCTCATAGCTCACTTCTAGATAAGAGCAACCTCGTGGTGCTCATCAGAAGGGAGCCTGCAAGAATGTGGTTTTGGCAATCTCTGCCATCTCCGATCTGAGGTCACTTCTTGAACAAGAACTGAAATTGGTCCTGAGACTTGCAACCACTTCCACCTTTGATGGTGATTTAAATATCCTTCTATAGGTTAGCCACTGCTTTTCCAGAGAAACATTATTAGAAATGTAACTTATTGTGGAGAGGAAACAAAACCTTGTTTCTGTTTGTCCAGAGGCAGCAAGGAAGGAGTCCTTTTCCTCTGGATGGTAATTCGGGGACTTTCTTTAAAAGATGACTGGTCCAGGGGAAAGGGAATTGGGTGGAGAATTGGGAAACAGGTTGGAGAATTCTGTCCCTTGTTCTAACTAGAAACTCAGTCCCTCAGCCTCAGTGTTCACATATGTAAAGTAGAAGCCTATGGGACCAGAAGCTCCACCAAACCCAGCTCTCAGGTGAAAATGCACAACTAAAGATGCTTCTGCGTTGGGAATTTTTGACCACCTTGTTAATGTTATAGGTATGGCCAAATGATTACTCTCTTCATCATAAGGCAGGTTTCTTTCTTTCTTTTTATTTAAAAAAAAAATTTTTTTTTAGCAAGGATGAATCTTTTTATATATATATATATATTTTATTGATTTTTTTTTTTACAGAGAGGAAGAGAGGGTTAGAAACATCGATGAGAGAGAAATATCGATCAGCTGCCTCCTGCACACCCCTACTGGGGATATGCCCTGCAACCAAGATTCTAAAAGGAAATGATTTTTAAATAGCAGTTGACAAAAGACTCAAATGACATCTAAAGAGAACGAGGTGGTGAGGGTCATGAAATATTGAACTGTGATATATGAAGATGACTGCAGTGCTAGCTACTGGGGATATGCCCTTGACCGGAATTGAACCTGGGACCCTTGAGTCCGCAGGTCGATGCTCTATCCACTGAGCCAAACCGGTTAGGGCAGGTTTCATTTTTAATAGGGGAAAGACCCATTTACGGAGACAGTGTCTTCCCCTACAAGTAGCTTAGACTTCTACCACATTTATCATTCAGCGCATACCCTCATCTTTCGGAACCATTCTTCACCCCACTATGTGAGAATGCCCTAGTCCCTGGAAATGGCAGGCTCATAAATGTCACTCACATGAAAGAACTTTTTTTTCCTGATACAGTAGGGGTAATTTTATAAAATGGCACATTTATTTGAAGTAGTAACTTCTTTGAGATATGGCCTTTTGCAAAGCCCAAGTTCTTCAGAATGCTGTGATTTAGCGCGGTATTATTCTGCCTGCATGGCAAACACTGCCAGCCCATAAAACAGGATGAGGCACTCCCTATGTGTCAAGCTGCGATGTTTGAAAGTAAATGGTACATGTGTAGAGAAAAATTGAGGAACGGCATTTGCTTCATTTGGCATTGGTTATGGGTCTGCTGAATGACATTCACATGGCAACTCGAGGTTCAGAAATCAGCAGAGACGAAGCCTGACCCCTGGCTTAAGGACAATCTTCAGGCTTCTGCCTTGCACAAGTTTGCTAACTGTTGTTAGAAGTAACCAAATAACATGTTTTATGAGCCTGTTAGATAATAAGCGGGAAACCCTGGGCCTTGAGCCTTGTTATGAAGAGTTTTAAGAAAAAGGGATTCATTTGTCATAGATTTCAAACTGGAAGAAACCCTGAGCAGTCACTCCATTTCCCTGCCTCCTGAAGAACCATCCCTGTAATGCTCTACCATGGTTAATGGCGGTATTAAAGGATATAGATTCTCCTTTTAAAGTATCCCCAGTAGCTAGCACTGCAGTCATCTTCATATATCACAGTTCAATATTTCATGACCCTCACCACCTTGTTCTCTTTAGATGTCATTTGAGTCTTTTGTCAACTGCTATCTAAAAATCATTTCCTTTTAGAATCTTAAGACTAATAAGCTTGTGACATGCGTGTTGTCCGCTGAGGAGGAGGTGGTTTGTTAAGTGTTTGTATCCACACTTACCTTTAATTCTGACTGTAAAACTCCAGAACAATAAGGCTTTCTGGGTGGGATTGTATTTCTTGAAGTTATAGGTAGGCCAGAGGGAGTAATAATCAAATTTACAAACTCAAGACCTCTGAAGCCACCTGCTTGAATGCTCTTTGTATATCCAATGAGAACGGGTCATTAGTTAATTACAAAGACTTCCTGAGCAGTTCCATGTGATGTGCTAAACATACTCAAAATATTCTGAGTGACATGTAGGTCATTTTCAAAATGATTTGAATTTATAGTTGTTATTTATTTTATTTTGAGAAGAAGTCAGTCCTGGAAGGAATAAAATTAAGTAAATAACTAATAAAGGATAATTAATGCTTAAAATAATGCATGATAAGAAAACATACTTGGCCTATATATATAAACAATTTGTTCTTCCAAATCATTAAGACTAAAAAGAACAAAGAATGTTTGCACCATTTGAAAATCGCATTTACAAATATAGCACTGCAGAAAGAATGCAATAGTTTACTAAAAGGAGTATTTCAACTCTAACAAGGCAGGGCACTGACATCCTAATCTCAATGCTTCCCCACAAAGTTCCAGAAGAGTTTATTCAACTCTGTGTGGAGTGGTCTTGCCATTTGTACTTTGACATTCAAGAATTTCTGAAAAGTTTGAAGAGAAATATGTGTATTTCAAATGTAGAGGGCATGCCCAGTCCTAATGACAGGAGGAAATAAAGTTCACAGGTTTGAAAAGTTAGGACTACCATTCTGATTTAATAGAACTGTATAGCACACCTCTTCGAAGGTTATTAGAACACATACTGGATAGTCTCTTCTGCCTCAGCTCCAAAGATTGTAGGGGTTCCAATCCCGAGTAGCACGGGACAGGAGAGGGCAATTAGCCATGGGCAATGATTAGGCATGTTTTATCTACACCTGCTCATTTCACAGCGGGTGGAGACAGCGTTGAGCCAAGTTAAACAGAGGCTGAAGTCGCTTTGCACAGATGTTGGTAAACTGTCTTGTTCCAGGCAGATTAGTGCCCCTTCTCTGGAATCCATGCTACACATTCCCCTGCTCGGTGCCTTGCACATTGTATTATCACAATCTGACTATGTTTCCACATCCTCCCCAAGACCGGAGCCCCTTGAGGACCAAAAGGGTCTCAGTGATCACTTCATCCCTGACACAGCACAGTGCCTGGCACAGAGAGGCAGGCTGTCCAATAAACCAGTCGATGACATGAAATCCTACTAAGATATTATTGGTAACACTGATTTTTAGGTTGGGAAGATGCTGATCCTTATGGGCGTAGTAGCTTATGAGCATGGCTGTCCCCTGTACTGGACCAGTTAATACTGTCAAGTACCCAGATTTTACTACTACCTGCCTTTTGGGAGAAGTATGGGATGGCTTTGCACTGTGCAGTACAGATAAAGTAAATAGTGGAAATTATTGTAATTTTTTTTTTTAAAAAGGAGAGTGTAGGAATCTTAGTGTTTCTTCTACTTAACCTTAATTTTATTAACCCTATTATGCTGCTATACTGGGTAAGTTTCATAATAAATTTGTAACTATAATACTTTGGAGTCTAATTCATTTTAAAGAGTAATTCATTTTCAAGAGTTACATAATACAATTAAGGCATTTAACTGAGGTCATAAAAATTAGAATATTGAATTTCTAAAGATTTTAATTAGTTTAGCTTAAGTAAAAATTTTAGCTCTTCTGCAATACCTCAAGGCATGTCATAAGCTATAAAGCCTATTGAACAGCTCAAAAGAACTAAGTAATGTCGAATCATTCTGATAAAAAAAATTATTATGCTTCTAGTTATTTCTTCTCCAATACTAAAGCATTTTAGTACCCAAATACTAAAGTGATTTTTTTTTTTTATCCAATTCAATTGCCCTGATATAAGTGGTAATGGAAGGAGGTCAAGGAGAAAGCAATTAGGAGGTTGGTAAATGGTTCATTGTGGTTTATAATGAAATTGTGCCATTAGTTGGTTGTCCTAGACTGGAATCCCAAATTGTGAAGTTTCTGTCTTCTTCTTTCCTTTTTTTTTTTTTTTTTTTTTTTTTTTTTTTTTGAGGCATCTGTGACAAATTGGAAGATGCATGTTTGGGGATGCAAAGGTCCCTGTAAGTATCTTCCTGGGGAAACCGAGAGTCCATGTATGGAGTGGAGAGGACCTGGGAACATTTGTTGGAGTAGGAGAGCCACATGAATTCTGTTTTGGTTAAAAATCTAGGATCTTCTGAGAAAGGAGTCCTCTACGGAAAGAGATTTAGGCCTGATGCACAGAATCAGGATTGGAAAAAATGAATCATCCGGTCAGTCCAATTATTTTCCCATTTCCTTGGGCACATGCCCGAGTCTTGGGAAGAAAGGGATGAGAGCTAGAGAGGGAGAGAATCTGTGGTGTGCTGGACAACAGCTCTCTAAGGATGGGGTGGGGGGTTGGGGGTGGGGTCTTGATTTGTAGCCTTTGCTGATTTCTCTGGTGTGAAAACTTGCCTCATGGTTGATTGCAAGCTTTCAACCACACCACTGAAAGAGCAGAGATACAACCCAGGAATTGAAAGTGCTTTCTTAAAAAACATTTCTCACCCAGCACAGCGCTCAGGCTTGTTTATCAGAGTATAGCACAGAACAGGGAAGAAGTTTCAAGAGCTTCTCTCTTGAGATAAATGGAGCAGCTTCAGGGCCAGGCC